GTGGGAGAGAGCAGGGGCGGTGGAAGAGAGAAGGGGTAGATACAGGAACTATTGAGCATCTGTCACCAGGCAGACTCAACACCATGGCACTTCCAGCTTGTTGTTCTGGGAATTAGCCGATTTGGCTTGCTGGACACCACCCTCTAGCTGGTGTCTCCCCGTGTTCTCCTTAACCACAGCATCCTCTTCAGGACACTGCCCTCTGGCAGTGCCCTCTCCAGTGTCTGAGCCCCTTTCTGAGGGTTGGGGTTTATTCTGCTTGCACTCCAGGGTCCTCCTTTCACCGGGGCACCCTGTTCTCCTCCCAGGGAACACCCAGTTCACTTGTACCCAGCTTGCCTCACTGCCAGTCTTCATCTAGCCCCTGCCTCAGGGGAAAACTGTAGGGTTTCCAGATGGTTTAACCAAAAATACCCCCACTCCCCCAACCGGGTAAAACAATTTTGTTGAGAAAAATAGGGGGAGACCGAAGTTGTTGAGGAAAAAGACTGAGTTAAGCAAAACAAAAAACCATCATGGCCCCTTTTAAAAATGCTTTTGAGGCTTTTTGTCCCTAAGGCTGCCATTTTGTCTTCCTGCTCCTGGCCAGGCAGCTCCTTTGCAGAACTAGGTAAGCACCCGGTATTTTTGCCTCCTGAGGGGAAGGGGAAGAGAGAAGAGTGGGGGAGGAGGGGAAGAGAATAATTGTAGGTGTCCAGTATTTTCTGAATTGTTTTTACTGGACAGAAGGTGAAGCTACCAGACTGTATGGGTCAATACCGGACACCTGGCAACCCTAGCAAACTGCAGGCTGTAATGGCCACTCATAATTGGCAAAGGGGTGTGGACCTGCTGCCCCTGCCTCCCATGGCTGCCTCTCTACATCTCTAGTTGCCTTGGGCCTTGCTTCAGGCCCTGCAGCTTGGGAGCTCACATGGCCAGAGCTTCCCCAGCCCTGCCTGCCTTCCCCAGCCCTGCTCTACCCCCAGGAAGCCTCCTGCTTCCCCAGCAGTCAGGTCCTTACTGCTCTCTGTGCAGAGCAGCAACCAGTCCTCCTCTCCCCCAGGAGTCCTTTATATAGCCCCCAGCTGGGCCCTCATTAGCCAAAACTGCCTCAGCTGGGGCTTTGCTCTCAGCCCTCCCTCAGGCCTGGGGTTTTACCCTTAAAGGGCCAGCACAGGGCAAATGCCCTGTGTCTCACCCTCCTCACGTATCTCCCACAGCGGGCAGGGTACCCTAACGGCCCAATATTTGCCTTACCTGGGCCCATGGGGTGTCTCTCCTTCTGCAGGTTCTCCACCCCATGGAGCAGCCTACTCCCCTCTTCAAGGGTCTGGGTCCCCACAGTGGTCCTCTCCACCCTAGCAAGGGTCTGGCACCTCTGCAGGCAACATCCAGAATCAAAATGGCATCCTCTGTGCAGCATGACCTCGCAGCTACAAGGACACGATTATCGTTTTAAAGAGCAGGATGGTGTCCTCAGCACAGCATGATCATGGCAGGTACTGTACATGTGACATCATGCCACATGAAGGGTACCATTTGGTATGAGGATAGATGCAAGTGGTGGCCAGATAAAGCCAGCCATCGCCATGCTATTTGTTAGTTGTAGTCTGGCAGCACATAGCAGCCCAGATCATAGACCAAAACCCCATTGTGCTAGGTGCTGTACACGCGCATGGATCTGGGCACCTTTCAAATATGCATGGCTCCATCCTCACAACACATCTTCTGCAATAGGTGTTATTGTTTACAGAAATGACTTGTCAACAGTCACAAGGATAGGAACAGGTATTGACTGCTCCTTTCCACAGACACACACCCAGTGCCTGAACC